CCGGATATTTTGCACACCCCTACCCTTGCGAGAGATTTTCACTATTGTTAGATCTTTACACAATCCTATATCTAACTTCTATACACAATTTTCTAACAACAATCAACAAGGAAACATCATCTTTTGATTTTAGGCAAAATATAATTTTTGGTCTCTTAAACATACCTCGAGGTTCATTTTGGTCCCTTAAATTTAATAAGGTTCATATTGGTCCTTTAACTCTTTAAAATGTTTCATATTAGTCCTTTTTGTCCTATTAGCGACGAAAAAATTTAAAAATCAGTCGGTAAATAGACAAAAAGGACTAATTTGGAATGTTTTGAAGAGTTAAGAAACCAATATGGACCTTTTTAAAGTTAATGGACCAAAGTGAACCCCAAGGTATAGTTAAAGAACCAAAAATGATATTTTGTCTTGATTTTATAACACAAGAGAAAGAAACTTACTTTCTCTTGAACCACACTTGTTACCACAAACTTGGTAAACAAGCAACAATAATTTTGCAAAGAATTTGAATAAGAATGAGTACAACAAAATTCCAGTGTGAATTTCTTCCCTTTCAATATACCAATTCAGAATAAATAATCACTAAGTGCTAAACTTTTATCTGATATGAAAGTTTTATGTAGATTAAGGCTAGTGAAATCTATTAATTAACTTGTTGATACTCAACAATGCATAAGGGTCCTTGGGATATGCTTGATTAAGGCTATTGAAATTTATGCATATTCTCAATTTTCATGATGTCTTCCTTAACATTATTATGTTAGCTAACTAGGTCGGGTATATAATCTCTCGTATAAATCTATCATATTTAAATTTGTTTACCTCTTCAAAAATAGATATTTTTTTGTCTTCCCTCTCTTTACACTTCCTCTAGGTGACAGACTTGAAGCATGACTTGATAACGAGATGATAACATACTATGTTAAGGTCTATTCCAGGCATATCATATGGTACCTATGCGAATAGGTTTATGTTCTCTTAGAGCAAATGAATGATGTGGATCTCCTCCTTTTCAGATAATGACGTCCACACCTGAGTGATTTAGAGACTCTGATGATCTATTTGTAATGCTTTCAATCCTTCCGTTGGTGTCAAACAGACTTCCAAGGAGTCGTTGGACTTAGGGTCCAAATCAACCTAATTGACCTTGCGGGTGTCCCCCCCCCCCTAATTTTAAGCCTTAAGTTATCCCGCTAACATCTTGAAACTTCTAGATTTCCTCTAACCACACCTACCCGTCTATTGTCTAAGGGATATTTCTTGTTAGACATCAGCGATATGCATTACTCGGCGAACATATATTTTTCATGACGAACTAGTCATTCCACCTCCCGTAAAACCCCATGCAATCATACTCAACATATGTGTTGCTTCATCGGGGTCATCTATTTCTCCATGAATCTGACTTCTCCTTGATATGTCCGTTCTCTGGAGGTATGTCCTCGCTTGTGGACTCTTTTTCTTGAAGAATAGGAGTCATCACGCACAAATCTATGCATGTAGTCTTCTTGGATCAACTTATTAATCTTTTACTTTAGTTGGTTACAATAATTTGTGTGGTGACCATATATCCTATTATATTTGAACCATCTCTCTAACTCGTTCCACATCATATCTTCCACGGGGTTAATAGGTTCAGGAATGACCTTGGTGTGGTAGACGTCTTGGAGGATTTGTTCTTTCATTATGTTCATGGGGTGAATGTTGGGGTTGGTTGAAAATATACATGTTAAAGAAGTCCTGCATCGCTTAGTTTTGTGAATGAAGAGAGAGTCTAAGGCTATATATATGATACAAGTTATTTAAAGTCCCACATTGTTTAGTTTTGTGAAGGAAGTGGGAGTCCAATGCTGTATATAAGATTCAAGTTCTTCATTCCAAAATATACCGGTCAAAATCACTTTAAGCTTATATTTGAATTTTTTATATTTTCTCTTGTACTCTTGGTTTAAGAGTGTTATGAGGGGTAGTTAAATATTTGCTTTGGACTGTGTGTGTGTGTGTGTGTGTGTGTGTGTGTGTGTGTGTGTGTGTATTGGGGCCTTGAGGTGGTTGAGGGTAGTATGTGTGTTGTTACAATTTTCACATAGTGTTATTCTTTGGTTGTCATTTGACAACGGTCGTGGTTTTTTCTCCAGTTTTGGAGTTTCCACGTTAATCTCTTGTGTTGTTATTGTGTTAATTTTTTCTCTATGTTTGTTTTTCCAAACAAGTGGTATCAAGAGCCTTGGTTTGGTGGGGTATAAATTTTCTTAGTATGCTCTGTGGTTGCATTTTTTTGCTGATCTTCCACATCAGAAAACAAATTTTATACTCTATGTTAGTTGAGAAAATTTTATTTTGCTGCAGGGAAGGTTTTGGTTGAAATGTCAAGTTTTTCAAGTGTAGTGAAGATTGACTTCGAGAAAAATTTGATGGAATAATTAATTTTGCCTTATGAAAAATTCAAGTCAAAGATGTTTTGATACAATTAGGATTACACAAGGCATTGAAAGGAAACATTTTCAACATGAACAACGAGAAGTGGAAGGAATTAGATTTGAGAGTTTTGAGTACAATCCGCATGTCTTTGTCTAAGAATATTCTTGCGAATTTTCTTGATATATCGCTAGCCAAAGAGCTTTGGGAGAAGCTTGAAGGGATATATCAAGGAAATGGTATTATCAAATTGTTTATTGTTGAAGGAGTAATTTCATAGCTTGCATATGGATGAACATAGAAAAGTATTTGATCATCTAAGTGTTCTAAATGGTATTGCTTTTGAATTAGAAACTATTGGAGTCAAGATTGATGATGAAGATAAATCTTTGAGACTCATATGATCTCTTCCATCTTCCTATGAGCATATTAAACTTGTTTTAATATATAGGAAGGAAACTTTGAGCTTTCAAGAAGTTGGTAGTAAGATTATTTCTAAAGAAAGAAGATTGAAGGGTGAGGAGAATACTTCATCAAACTAAGTGTTGGTTGTTAGAGGAAATTCGTATGTGAAGAAAAATAATGAAACAAGTGTGAGATGTTGAAAATGTGAAAAGCTAGGACATATAAAATATAAGGGTCCCGATGGGGTTGCGCCAGAGAAGGACTCTGAGTCAAATGCTAGCAATGTCTCTCTCGCTGTGAGAGAGGGTGATCTTCTCTGAAAATTGAGAAGTGTGTTCTCATTTTTGCTGTCATAGAAAAGGACGTGTTATTGCTAGCGGATTAACACATGGACATTAATGCAAAGTGTGTTGTGAGATTATGTCAATGGTTGAAGAGCTTCCTGCCAACAAGGAAGTTGCACCATAAAGTTCCAACCTGGTTTTCGACATGGGAAAATTCTTGAAGTGGTTTAATTTCAAGAGAAGTATACTCTTCTTTAGGTGGAGTATGATAGTTTTTGAAAATTATGATTGTCGGTGAAGACAATGTGAAATTTTTGGAGTGATGTAGTTTCAAGCGATTATACTCTTTATGGTGGAGTATGATTGTCGGTGAAGATAATGAAAATTTATGTATTATTTTCAATCAAGGTGGAGATTGTTGAGGTTAGTTGAAAATATACATGTTAAAGAAATCTCACACAGTTTTGTTAATGAAGAAAAAGTCCAAAGCTATATATACAATACAAGTTATTTGAAGTCCTGCATCGCTTAATTTTATGAAAAAAAATACAAGTTATTTGAAGTCCTGCATCAAGTTCTTCATTCTAAGATGTACCTTTCAGTGAAATGTTCTAGGGGCCTCTAATTGACTTGAACACAACCTTTTTTCAAATTGGTATCAGATTTTACGTCACCTCTCTCGCCTGCATCTTGGGTTCTTTTTTCAACATTGATCACTTCCATCAAAGGTTCCGAATTTTTGACTAAGGATTCATTGAACCTTGGGAGGCTAGTGTACAATTTGAGGACAGTCTCCTTGAACGATATGTTGCGGTAGAATTTTATATTAAATTAAACACAGTAGCAATTTGGTAGATTTCCATGTTCATCATCTTATGATTACTATCACCGAAATGTTGTCTAAGAAATGTGGTGCTAGTAGTTAAGGGTAACGTAACATTTTCTATAGAATTATTGAGAAATCTACTATTGATTGTCCCTATATAATTCATTTGTATTTCAGTATCTTGACTCGCAAACGAGAATGGAAAACTCGTGGTCACTAGTGGCACATTATAAGAGGCTTGTCTTAGATGAACAAAACTTGTTGTAACCCATAAGGAGACCAATGTCTCTAACTTTTGCATATGAGAAACTCTCCTATGGGTCTGGCATACTACCATTAGAAATTTGATCTTTTCTAGACATTTCAACTTCTTGTCCATCTTCATTCGAAAGTTATTATTAATTTGGTTATTATTTGATTGGTGTTTCTTCTCTTATAAGGATTAACCATACTAGATTTTCTAATTACAAGTTATAAAAAGTGACGTAAACTATCTTAACAAATAGTTTGGCTTTGAACACTTTTTTTTTATTCACAGCATTGTTCATATTCTTACCATTATTAGATTCCCAGGCCCAAAAATACAACCCCAACAATCACTGTTTTATGCTTCCCAAAATACCACATTTACAACCATATCAGCATCTATTTACAACCACAATATTTCAGAGAGCATCAACAAACGTGTGGCCATTTCTCAGCCGGCTAAAACGCCTAATGGGTGTTCCCCACTTGGCATTTTCTTTGTTTTGACACCAGACACAATGCTGACACTAACATATGTATTGGTGTCATGTACCAGACACACCTTTAATATGAAGTGTCTGTATTCTGCAGTAACTTCTTGGTTGTCGCGTCATCATGGTTTTTTGTATGAAGTGGTTTGTAGTGGGGACCTAATAAGGAAAACAAAATGGTCCCAGGTCTCGTATTCCCAGTCAATTTACTAACTGGAATCTGATAAATTTAAGAAACTAATGAAAATCACAAAAGGGTCTTGTTCTGGTGGACCCTTTGTATAGAAATTTATCACTATCAGAACCAGTTTTTGGCTGTAAATGTCAAATGGGAATAAAACTATTATTGTTTGGAGGAATGTTGGAAATGCCTTGCCTTGAAAGCTCAGTCAACACACTATCTGTGGAAGGCGGTTTGAGGCCTATTGGCAAAGGTAGCCATGGCTTACTCATTGCCTCCATCACAACCTTGTCAATAATCTCCTCTTCCTGCATGCATGCATTGTAACACATTATATGGTAAGAGCTCATTTTGATAAGTAAGATACATTGTAGATGTGTTCAGTTATTAGTTGCAAATCTATAAGTCGAGTTAAAAGTACTCAAGTAAAAAGAAGCGGATATGAAAGTATCGCATTTACCGGATAATTGTCTAAGGAACTGTAGAGCGTGCCAATTGTGTAATCCATTGCATTATCATTGCTCAAGGAAGGTATATTCTGCTGTTTGATTGAAAGATACGATTAGCATCATACATGAATAATTTAAATAACTAGCAAAAACTAATTGTGCTTGCAATGCAAGCATAATTACATAATCAAGTATTAACCATTAATGCAAAAAAATAGGAAAGAGATGATGTCGAGATCTTCAATTTGATGATACTCACTTGAGTGTAGGAAAAACATTGAGCTTGAGGTGGCGGTGGTAACACAGGGCAGCCCCAAGCATCTGAATGCATCTGCAACATCAAGTGATAATATATCAAACTGCAACCATAAACATAACCATGATAATTTCTACATAAAAATCCACAGCGAAAGGTTCCTATTACTAATTGGAACATAAAATTTTGTATCCTTCGTGAGCTCAAAAGAAATATATTACCCCTGGAAATGGTTGCCAGTGCCAAGTTTCTGTAGGCTGCCACAGGGGATAACCAGAAGGGCCCCAACTAGGCATGCCGGCCATTTGACTTCCAGTTTGTCCCCACATCGGATATAAAGGAGCTGGAGGAAGGGTATGGTTAGAATAATAAGCCGGAGGACCAGGCATAATTGGCCTTTGAAGACAATAACTCCTTTGCATTGGATCTCTTTGATTTAGCCATTTCCGGTCTTCTTGCTTCGGCAAGATATGTCTCTTATGCATTCTATATTTCTGTTTAAAGTTAAACAATAAAAGACATTATGTTAGTTATGAATTACCTAAGATATATGAACATTGTTTTCCATATTGGCAGTTCCTAATGAGGTATCGAAAAGGTTTGGAAACAGCGGTGGCAAGATAGAAAATAACCTGCAGATGGCTTGCCACATTATGTCTTGTCAAGCCCTCCACCTTCATTAAATCCAATATACGAGAAGGAATAGCGTGATCAATGCCTAGTTGTTCGACTGCCTTCACAAACTTTTTGTGCAGCTCTCGTGTCCAGTCTACCTGAGACAAAGTACCAAAACAAAACTTAGGATTTTCTTTTTTATGTGTCTCATGCAGTATATTGTAATTTGTAAGAAAACCGTGTGGAAAGAGGGTTAGAGGTTCATGAATGGTCGTAAAACAGCTTACTTTCATCTTCTTCCTATTAGCTTTTATTTCACATTTATTATTACGAACGCCTGCTTTATTTGCAGATGTAGTATTACTTTCACTATTGGTGAGAGCCTTCACATTTTGTGGATGTGGAGAAACAACACTCTCACACTTAGAAGTGTCCATAAAATCCTCCTCTTCCTTTTGAACCAAAGTAAATTCAGATTTCTTTTGTTGAGGAGTGCTTTCAGCAATCAATTTTTCACATATATTTTCGACAGATTTAGATTCTTCATCATGCTCTACACTTTCTTTTTCTGTGGAGCAATTAATTTGCTCTTGGCGAGTACTCTCAAAATTCAAATTTTCAACAGTAGTTTCAACAGAATTAGATTCTCCATCACGCTCTCCACTTTCTTTTTCAGTGGAGCAATTAGTCTGCTCTTGGCGAATACTCTCAGCATTCAAATTTTCACAAGTAGTTTCGACAAATTTAGATTCTCCATCATGCTCTCCACTTTCTTTTTCTGTGGAGCAGTTAGTCTGCTCCTGGCAATCCCCGTCGTCTAGTAATCTTTCCACCTGTTTCAATTGTGGGGTTGAAGGAGCTGGATAATGCTCGGGGTCATTGTCAGAAAACCGAGATTCTTTTTCTAACTCAACCGAGGCTCTACTTTCGTGTTGCTCGTTGTCTGTTTGGAGCTGCAAAATGGAGACTACAGATTCCTTGACAGGCTTCAGTGATTCCGACAGGACACTTACCCCAGCATTGAACGCCTGCTTGGTTTAAACCACATAAGAATTACATTCCTCATCATATGATAAGCGTAAATACACGCAGAATGTCACCAATGTTAATTAACCAACCTTGTGGACCACATGCTGCCAGATATTTCTGAGCTTGTCCTCAGAGAGTGGTTTGCTGAGGAACTCCACTGCCCCAAGCTTAAAAAAGACACCAAAACAAAGCAAGGAGTCAAGAGTCGTGCATCAATTTATTTCCATTGCATGATCTTTTTCTCGATTAATTTCTGTTTTCGAATTCCAGGTTCTCATAATGATTCAAAGAATACAACCAAAATCTTACCGCTATGCACTTCATCATGGTGTTCAGACAATCGTTGTTTGAAGTCACTGCATCAAAAGCTGAAAAATTATAAAACTTGCAGCAAACACAAATCTTTTTCCATGAGTGGCTCGTGAGACCGACATAAAATTTATCGTTTAAAAAACTCTGAAGTTAAACCAAAAAAGTTTGGCTTGGTTTCTGTACTTACTAATGGTTGGCAAGTCCTTTGCATTCTCAAGAAATTTGAAACCTCCCTCGCAACTGTGTGAACTCACCTATAATTAGGATGAACACAAGTGGTTACAAATAACATCCTTTTCCCTAGAGATGTTCATTTTATTTTCAACAAGCACACAAATCTAAATTTCAAATTTACTTTACTATGATTTGTAATTTTTATAGAACATGAAAGTTCATTACCTCTACAATGGCTATATGGAAGCCTTCAGGTTTATTTGAGATTGCTGACAGGGCTTCATTCACGTCGCAGAATATCGAAACTGTATAGAAAATTTAAGGATTAATATAAAAAAAATGCACAGAAAAGAAGGATCAAGGAGATTGAATAACAAAAATCAAGTTATAGTTCGGTTGGTCCTCAAGAACTATTTTCAATTAAACTTGCTTTTATGGAAACTTTAGTTTTCCATAACAAATGCATGTCTTCTGCAGCGAACTAATAAAAAGGCGACCGAATAACAAAAATAGAAAAGTCCAAACTCAATATGATTACAATTTGGACCATATCCCATTTCGAAAACACATCAAGTACACAGTTTAAAGACGAAAACTTAGGCAACATTACCATATATGGAACAATTGAACACAAAAAAAAACAAAGAAAACATCTTTCAAAATGTAGCCACGAGTGCAACTAAATCCTGTGGTCATAGTTTTACAAAGAACTATTACAAGGATTCTTTTTCGTGTTAGCCCTCCGGTTTTCAGAACCAGAGGACCCTATTAATCCAGAGTTCCGCCGAGGTAAGTAAAGCCTCACCAAAAATTATTTCAGTCAAGATTCGAACGCAGAAGCTGGTTTGACCTTAACTGAAACTCACTAACCACTTGATTACTATACAATGATTATTATAAAGCAATGAATGACACATTCTATATCTCTAAAGCAATGTTAATTTGCGCAATTAAGCTCAACTTTACCCTCCAAAGTAACCATATGTGAGAATTGCAAGACCAGAAGAAGTTAGACAGAGCAAAACAAAAAGTAAGAATCCAAAAAAGTGTCATACCAATATAGTCCATGGCCTCAAGCTTTGTTCTTATCTCAGAAGCACAAGTAGTGTCTTCCTGAAGGAGAAGAACCTTGAGTCCTTTGGGAAAATCCTTCCATTGTTGTATATCATTGGCAGTACAAACCATAGCTGGCTTAGCATCCTTTCTCAATCTCTCTCATCAACAACATCCAATTCCTTCTGCAAAACCATGAATCAGATCACAAACTGCATGCACATATTCTCTAAACAGATTCAGCATGCAGATAAGAAAAAAAACTAAGAAATTTTTATGAGAAACTTTAAACTTGTACCTTGGAATAAAAGAGAAAAAAAGTTGATGAGTTGAATTTGAATTCGATAAACTAAAACTTGTGCTGTTGCAGCATTGTTAATAAAGAGAAAATGTGAAGGGAAGAGGAAGAGGTGTGATGGTAGTGCTTGTGACTACTGAACAGTAGCAATCAGTAGTAGTTGCGGACCACAGGAAGAACCTTTCTGCCACTTCTTCATACACTATTTATTTATACCAATATTGCCCCTTTCGTTGTTACTGCAAAAAAGCTCAGAGATCTTCAATGTGTATGACAGTGAAACTAATTACAGGTAAATCTTCTGAGAGGAGTTAATATGTATATATATAGCCTTCTTTAAAAAAAAAAAATAAATAAGAAATTATCCAAAAGAGTAGCATATGATGACATGACTCAATATTTTAAAATGATATTTACTTTATAAGGTTGAATGTACAATATTTCTTCAGTCTTGTAATTATTGTCACTTTATACCACCTGAAATTTGTTTAAAATTATTTTTTTTTTCTTTTCTCAAGTTGAATTATTATTATTATTATTATTATTATTATTATTATTATTATAAACTATCAAACGTTATAGTTTATTATATCTTTAAGTTTACTTAATAACGGTGTCACATATTTTAACAATTTTGTAATATTTTTCAATATGTGTTAAAAAAGAATTTGGATTCTCTCTTTTTTTATATATGTCATCTCTCATATTTTTAATCTAACGGTTCAGAATTTATAATGAATAATTAAATAAAAAAAATCATTTAATAAGAGAGAGAAATGAATAAGTAATTTGTCTATTTATGTGAATCATTTAAATGACTTTTTTTTATTTAAATATTTATTATAAATTCTGAACTGTTAGATTAGAAACATTAAAGATGACATGATATATAAAAAAGGAGGGAATCCAAATCCGTCAAAAAAATCTTAAATTATATTTGTTTTTAAAACAACTTTTTTTTTATTGGATTTTTAATAGAAACAAGTCTTGCATGGTTAGAGTTATAAATAAAAAAATGTTTAAGCACATACATACAAATAAAAATAAATAAAAGATAAATAATTTTATTACATCATTTAATATTTAGATTTAATTACAGCCTCATAAAATTAGTCTCATCATTTTAAAATCAAATAATTTTAGTTTATACATTTTTTAAATAAAAATTGATGTTTTTTTAGTGATGTGTCATTTGTGAAACTTAACAAATAATCATAAACATGTTTTTGTCAAATTTTCAAGATAGAATATATAATTCTCATGTGAATAAATAATGCACACGTCGTCAATTTTCAGTGCAAAAATGTAAGAAGAGAATAATATAATTTAATTTTGAAATATAAGGACTAATTTCGTGAATCACTTAAATAAGAAAATGTAATCAAGCTAAATATTTAATAATAAAATAAAATAATTAATAATTATAATTATAATAAAAACAAATTATTATATTAAAAAAGTTAATATTTTGTAAGCATAATAAATAATAATACAATAACTATTAATAATAACCTAATAAATTTATTATTATTATTATTATTATTATTATTATTATTATTATTATTATTATTATTATTATTATTATTATTATTATTATTATTATTATTTATTGTATGAATAATATAAATTTATTAGTGTGATCTAAGCTCAAATAATAATTATAGTTCAATTTCTTTCGGTCACCACAGAAATGTTATCGTCGTTACCACAAATCCAAGCCATAGTTTCAGTATTTTTATAACAAGGTTTCACCTACTATTATAGATGAGCTGAACTAGTCAACATTACAACTATGACGAAATGATCTTTTGTTGTTCTTTATAAGGTGTTTGTTAAAATTCCTTAGTCAGAATTAGTTTGCATTGGATAGGGGAGAAACACAATTTTGCGTTGTCCAAAATAGTTTCTACTCAAATATGAGGTTTGCATTGTCCATTATGTGAGTTCCATTGTTGCTTTGATGACAAGGATGAGAGTAAAGGTATTACTCGGTATACTGTCTTATTTTAAGACGCTACACTTATACACTGACAAACGCAAAACACAATTCGGGAAGCTATTGAAAATGATTCAGGTTTGTTTACGACATTTGAGGAGACTTTAATGGGAGTTAGGGAATGGATATGTGGAAGGTGTATGAGCATTCATGTCGTGAGTCGGGCATGTCATCATTCTGGTAGTCTAGTTCGGGTTACTCTTGGGACAGAGGAAGTCGGAACTCACATTCTGGATATTATAAAACCATTTATAATATACTCTAATAACCTTGATACAAATGAAAGGATTATATTGGATGTGAGATTATTAGAGCTAGTCTTCACAACATTTATCTTCATTGTAAAGAGCATACCTCTTAAGTATCGTCTTATTTTTTCCTCAGACATTGAAAGATGCACTCCTAAAGGTGGTTGTTGAGCCGGGATTTATAGGTGTTTGGGTTCGGTTGTTACTTCTTCATTGTTGCACTTTACAAGTGGTCAAGCCTTAGAATAGACATGATCACAGGTCTGAAAATTAGAAAGCCTTGCAGCAACATCACATTTTGGAGTTCTTAACTACTTGAAGGATTGCATATGGTCTTACCAAGTTAGTTTATAGTGCTTTGGGCAGCTTTGAGCAAGATAATTTGGGTCATGAGGGATCTTATATTAAGTAGGAAGATGAAAAAGATGAGCTCTAACGTCAAGCAATGCCTTCGTAAAGTTGTAGGTAGTCACTTCATAGCGGTTGTGAAACTGTTGGGGTCATCTGGTGTAGCCCCATATAATGCTCATACTATAAAGGATTTGGAGGCTAAACACACACATAAACCACCTCCCTCCATGCCAACCACTTTGTTCTCTGAATTTTCTCTAGTGGTCGAAGTTAATAGTCTTCAGGTGCATTAAGTCACTCCCTAATGGGACTTCATATGATAGAGATGGTTTATGGCCTCAACATTTATTGGACACACTATCTGGAGAATGTTTTGTTGTGTCTGTAACACCCTTTTCTACCCCACAAATATAATGGAAAATCAATAACATTTATTAGAGTAAAATATTAAACACAATAAAAATCACCTCAAAGGGCGTACATTTCTCAATAACTCAAATAAAACTCAATGCTCCGTAAACAACGGGTTTTCCCAAAATTACTCAAAAATTGCTCAAAAGGCAGCGGAACTCAAAAAGGCAAAATCCAAAGTTTTCCTTGCGCAGCAACATAATCAAATAACAATAATCAATAAAACATGGTTTAACTCAAAGACCTCAACCCGATGTTACACTATCAGAGCAAGACTCTCTAAGTCAACCAAAAAGTCTTCGACGACATCCACGACTAAACCTGGTCATCTTCACGTTACCCACGTGGAGACAACATTCAAACAGGTAGGGTGAGTAAAACGATTCATAATAATCAATATATAAAATAACGCCATTTTCGTATTCAACATCATCGTAATCATCAAGGAAACATCAAAAAGCCATAATATCATAAATTACACCAAATTGTCACATAAATGCAAATGCAACAAGACTTATGCATTTGGTACCAATTCATCAAAGTTCGATGAACACTGGGCCATCAACCCTCCATAGATCACCATCAATAGGATCAATTCTACACAAGAACCGGAGCACAACAAAATACTTCACATCCGCACAATGGGACTGAAGCCACAAGAATCAAACACTAGACCGAAGTCCGGAATGCATATGAATGCATGATGCACATGTCAATATCATCCTCATAATAAACTCATTAGGTGCATCGTCATTTATCAAAATCATCATAATAATCATGTCATCATATAATCATCAAAAACTCATGGAATCAACATCATAACTCATCATTATTACTCATAGGAATCATTATACAATAATGTATTAATCACATATGAATCAGAGTCATACTCAAGGTAATTCATCCAGAAAACCACAACATCAAAGCATCAAGACAACACTGCACAAGAACACAATTCGCGAAACTCTGCTACGTTTGTTGGACAGTTTGTCGTGCGAGTCTGGGGTGAATGTTCGCCGTGTGAACTCACGATTACAGCAAATCGCTGCTATGCAACAGGAGCAAAATCAGTTCAAAGGTCCATAAAATTTCCTTCCTCAATGCCCCAAAAACATCCATCAATCATGCCTAAGGTATTACGGCGATAAAGGCACAAAATCTACGACTTATTAGGCCAATCCCGTATCATATTTACGCCTCCAATTCCCATAAATCCTTACAAATTCCCCACATTAATTAGAGTTCTCATAATCCCTTACCCTACACGGTTAAAACCTTAACAACAGATTTGGCCACGAAGGCCTAATTCCCCTTACTCTCAAATCAACCTCAAACCTATTAGACCATCAGTTCAAATCCTCAAACTCATTGAACTCCTCACCAGAAAGGCAACAACAATTTAATACTCAAAAATCACTAAACCCTTAAATCGGCTTTAAATACATTGAATCACATATTGAAAACAACAAAGGTAATATTTCCCATACTTAAACAACCTCAAAAACAGATTTGGCCACGAAGGCCTAATTTTTCTCAAACTCAAAGACCTCCTAAATCCTTAAATCGACTTTAAATACATTGAATCATATATTGAAAACAATGAAGACAATACTCCCCATACCTTGATTGCCGACTCTAAGTCTTTCTCTTTGATTCTTGGAAACCTCGCGAAGCTTTTGCCTCAATCCTCTTCCTCAGAGCTCTGACTCTATTTCTTCCCTTTTCACGGTCTAACAAGAATGAATCCTAATTCTCTCAAAATTCATTTTTGTTAAACCTAACTTTGGGCCTTAAAATGGGCTTTCCAATTTCCCCCTCACTAACTCTT